TTTTTTTAGCCTATTTATAACTTAGAGGTCAATTTGATTTTTGAAAACAAATATTAATTTTTAGGTGAAAGAGCTAGAGATGTTCTTATGAAATCGAAATTACCCTTAGACAAACTCGGCCAGATTTGGTAAAGAACATTTATTTATTTAAAAAAATTTAATCACTACACCTAAACTCCGTACCAACTTCTTTTGACAATTTTCAAGGGCATTGGCTGATACAAAAAAGCGAGGGAAGCTGGATATGGCAGAATTTATTATCGCAATGTATTTTGTGCAAAACACTATGAACGGTACAATTAAAAACATTCCATCGGTACTCCCAGAAGGATTCTATGACATGGCTTCTGGCATAACAGCAAGTGCGTCAAGTCTTCCAACTTCACCCCAACCTGCTTCCAGGCAAATTGCTGGGGTTGTGGATTCTCCAATGTCTCCTGTCATTCAAAGCTATTCGTGGGACGTTACTGCTGAAGATAAAGCAACCTATGATAGATATTTCAGTTCCGTTGACGTGATGAACAAAGGATATCTCACAGGTGAAGCAATCGCTCACTTAAATATCCTTGCAAACTATAATATACATATCAGCTGCATCTTAGAATGAAATATTATTATTTTATAGGCGATGAAGCAGCGAATTTCTTCATGAAATCTAGATTAACGCCAAATGTATTGGCACAGATATGGTAAAATTAATGACTCTTTTAATCTATGATCAGTATTGTTCTTCATGACTCTTTACACAAAGTAATGTTTGGATGTTAATATAGGGACCTCGCAGACGTCAGAAAATCAGGCACTCTTAATCGTGACGAATTTGCTGTCGCTATGTATCTAATAACAAAAAAAATGAATGGAACGATTTTACCTACCACATTACCACCAAGCCTTATTCCACCGTCAATGCGATCTATAACAAGTAGGTCTTCTAGTTATTTAATAAAGAATAACATTGTAGAAGATACGGGGCCTTTTCCAGGAATTTTTTTCTAAAAATATTTATTATGACTTTCCTAATTAAAAATGATGATAATGATTTGAAGGGTGATTTTCCTAGCAAAGATTCATAGCTTAATTCCCCTTATTTAATATTTTCTTGCTTTTAATAAAATTGATATGGATGACTTACAATTGGATTATTTCATAATTTCATTATACTAATTGTTTGATCAAAATACAACATTGAAACAGCTACATTTCCTGATTCTTTAACAAGATCTGGAACTATAAAAAGCCCTCCAATTGGAAAACGCTCTTCGTTGTTGGTATTCGAGCAAGGTCTTAATACCTCATTACCATCACCTTTCTTTAATTCCGGTCCTGTTTCTCAGAGTATGAAATCATTATATATATATTTTCGCGCTATTCCATTCCACGAAATATAAGTATTTATTATCTTTAATAATACAGACTCAAATGATTTTGATCTACTTGGTGATACCGATATAAACACCCAAGTGGCAATTGAAAACGGTGAAATTAGAGCACTCAAATCACAAGCAGATAATTTTAGTGAAGCTATTTCGGAATTTAAAATAAGTCGTGCCAATCTTGACACAGATTTGGCTAATCTTGCTGTTCAAAAGAATGAAATAACAACTCGACTTTCTCAGGTTCGTACTTTGTATGATTCTGAACATAGGTCTTTACAAGAAATTCAAGCAAATTATAAAATTGAGTACGAAAGTCTTGAGCGTGCAAGAGAAGAACTTGCTCAAGCTGAAAGAGCGTTGGAACAATTACAGTCTGAAAGAGACCAATTCCAAGCTAGCATCCAAAAAGATCGTGAAGAAATGCTGGATATTAAAAGAAGAATGAGACTCGCTGAAGAAAAAAATGTGGCCATAAAAGCTGAAATTGAGAAACTCAAAACAGAAAGTAGAAAACAAAAAGGACTACTCGATATCAATAGGATGCAATTGACATCTGCAGAGAAAGAAAAGGATAAAGCTTTAAAGACTCTACAAAGTCTTGAAGGTCGGGATATACCAGATGATGATCCATTTGGTACTGGTGCATTTATACCAAATACATCTGACAGTTCACCATTACAAGGAAATATAAATTCTCAACCTGGCTTGGAATTTGTTGATAATTCAAATCAGTCAAGAAACATCATCCATAATCAACATCCTTCGATATCATCTCTTGGAGGTGGTGTTAAAAGAACAATGTCAAATTCTTCACTTGCTTCTAATTCCACTGTAGGCACATCTAGCGTTAAATCATCATCGTTTAGTTCTTCCAAATTGGAAGAAACCATGGTTGACAAACCAAATTCGGTGTCCAATTCTAAGCCGATTGATGTTAATAATAATTTTGGTGAAAATACATTAAGCACCAATCCTCAAGATAATGATACATCGGTTAATAGTTCTCGTAGTATAAATTCGTTTGATACAACATTTAACACGCCATTTGCAGAATTTAATAAAGATATAACAAAATCAGATAATGTTCCACAACAAATAGTTGAAAAAAATGAAGAAAAGTCAGACACTGATCCCTTTGCATCATTCAGCAATTTCAAAAGATCATCAACTGGAAAATCAGATTACAATTCAACCTTTTCAACAACATTTAGCTCGAATAATGATATTGTAACATCAGAATCGTTTACAACTGAGTTTCCCAGTCTAGAAGAAATTGAAGCATCAGTGGAAAGTGGTGTCAAGATAGGATTTGATAATGACTTTTCTAGTATTCCTACTAATATCGAAAATAAAGATGACAACATTTTTAATTCGGAAATTTCAAAAGACAATAATAATGAAGCCGAAAATACACGTGATAATCCTGTTCTGAGTGAGCCAGAATCTGTTTTACCAGAAAACTCCGCGACTGCTAAGGAGGTATCCATGGAAGAAACAAAAGATAAAATAAATGTATATAACAAAGGAGTGGAAACACCTTTTGTTCCTGTTGTAGGAGAGATATCAGAATCTTTGGGAGGAGGATTGGCACCTTTGAAAGATTCCGAGTCATGGATTTCTGTAGAGAAGTCATCTGAATCAAAATCTACAACCCAAATGGACGATTTTGACGCGGTATTTGCAGATTTAACAGATGCTAAAGTAACAAAAACGCCACCTATTAATTTTGATGCAGATTTTGACACAGACTTTAAAGAAGACTTTAATCCCACATTTGATGCACCTATCACACATTCTAAACCTGCGTCCAACACAAGCAGTAGCGGAAATAACTTAGGTGTAACACCATCAATTAGTTCAACAAAAAATAGCTCAACAGATTTTGATAAATTTGACAAGAGATTTGGTAGTTTTGACCCCTTTTCATCAAATGCATCAAGTACAACTTCAAATGCTACTAAACCAAACTTGGTGGAAGCCGCATTTGGTGGAATAACAGGAGAGCCACAAAAATCAACAAATTCATCTATTGGTTTTGATGATGCATTTGAAGAATTCTTTAAATCGCCTTCTGCACCATCCTCAAAAACAGAACCATCATCATTGGACCTAAAATCCACAACAGCCAATGATTCAAAAACATCAATTCCATCAGAATCGTCACAACCAAAGGTACAAAGCATGGACGACAATGATGATGATGTAGAGCAAGTTAAGCAATTGAGAGCTATGGGATTTTCGAGAGAAAAATCTATAGATGCTCTTGGAAGATATGATTATGATATAGAAAAGGCATCTAATTTTCTGTTGGAAAATCCTTGATAGTATTTGATTTCTAAAATAATATAAGATAATTAACAAAAAAGTATCACAACATATGAATTTATTTTATGATTGTTATAAGTTTGTAACAATTATATGTGTATACATATTTATTTCATTTGAATAACAATAATTTATGCTTTTAACAAATAATTAGTCATATAACATCTTTTTAGTGTAATTATTTCTAGATTAAATGAGTTAACTTTTACATTTTATATATAAAATTTGCAAATATATATATATTATATATATATTAATTATTAAGAAACTAAACACAAAATACAATATAATTTTAAATAGCTTTTGTTAAAAGTTACATACATTAAGTATTTTTTAAAAAAATCTTGGTTTAAAATTGTATGATTTTTACTAAAAATTTCTAAATTTACACAAGTGTTTATACACGAATATTAGGGTGAGGCATAATTTATACCACAATTTTGCACGGAATTTTCGTTAAAAGACAAACGCTGGCTTTATAATCGAAATTTTGAGAATAATAATACCCCGTGTATACATATCAAAAATTAGATTGGCTAGTTAAAAATAGCTAGCCAGTGATCAGCTTGTAATATTTTTGATATATATCAGTGTTGTTTACTATAGCGTTCCAGTAGGAATTATTGGAACTAGGTCACTGGATTAACTGGATGGAATTGGAATGGAGGTTCCAGTGATGTCCAGTGATTTCTGATTGGCCGACTTGGCCAAAATTTAGCTCATGTATCACACACCCGTTTATAAAAATATTACAAACCGGGTTTCTAATAATCCGGGTGACCTGGTTGTTATGAAAAAAATTAACAAATCTATACTAATACAGCTAAGCTTAAATAGCTTAAGTTGTCTACTTTTAATGATTAATCAAGCCCGGTTCTTAACAAATATCCATATGATCGTTTTTTATAACTTATTGTCTTATCAATAAATTTGCTGACAGTATAATAATTGCTAGTATTCAGATTTATTTATTTTTTTTATTCACGTCAACTTAGTCAACAATGATTATTCATAAATCTAATTATTTATTTCTACTGTAATTTATCACTAATGTATTTAAAATCAGCATTTCAATTTCTTTTTACAATTGAGGTATTTAGAATAGGTTATTCATTTCTTAATTATTTTATCTCACATTGATCTAACAAATGGGTATCGATTATCGTTGTTAGACGAAACCATGTGATGCTAAATGTCACATATAGGGTTGCATCGGTCCCGCAAAAGACCGGTCCCGGACCGGGACCGATAGGGACCGAGGACCGTTGCAAGGACCGGTCCGGGACCGGTCCTTGCAACGGTCCTTATAATAAATTACTACATGCGCTTTATGTAAATTCTTTCCCCATATTTTGTCTCTTTTATACTAATTATAATTAGCACCAAGTGAAAGTCTTTAACTAGAGTGAAATCAATGAGGAATTATATAAGTATTG